GAAGTTGATCGGAATCTACAGGAAGAAAATCCGGTAACTTCCAACTGGAATACTGCTTCCACTTTCCAGCGCTTTCCTGTGCTTTCCGGCCGTTTCCCGCCGTACGTCCACGACCTGGGATATACACTGTAATTGAATTCAGTAAAAAAAACAGCATCATGAAAGGACGACCATTTAGAAGTGAAAGTAAACGTGAAGAACAACATGAAAAGCAGTTAAGCAAGGCAATCGATGAAAATTCACTTGATGTGAATAATACTGATTCTGTTTTTGATGAAAATCAAAGGAAAGGAGATGCAGAAGAGGTTTGTCTTATTAACAAGAAAAAGAAAAAATATTTATTTGTTCATTGTTCTAGGATGAAAATGCTGATAAGTCAACATCTGTTACTACTGATGATGGTAGGGGTTGTTACTAAGGCAAAATTTATTTTCAACTTTTAACTTCAGTTATTTGTCCGCAATTGACTGATGAACGTATGCATGAACAAAGAAATCGTGATGGTATAATTCTGGCTGATAATTTACCGAAAGTTGATCCGATAACACGTAAAAATATAAGAGACGATCTTTTTCAAGTATAAAAACGGTTTTCTTATCATCACGTCAAAATAAATTTTCATTTTCATTTTCAGTTAATTCAAATGTTGAATGATGATTCAGTCGACCAGAACGTAGCCGAAGAACTGAAAAAATCTACTGTAAGGCAAAAACTTATGTTTTACATTAATCATTGAAATATTTTTCTTTCAGAGTCGTTTTATTCAATTAACAACTTCAAATTTTGTAAGCATATTACAAATTGTTATGTTTTTAATTATCAAGATTTTTGTAGAGTAATTCAAACGTATCGTTATCGTTATCAGTAGCACCAACAACAACTTTTCAACAAGAATTACAACAACTTTTCAACAAGAATTACAACAACAACGAAATGATAATCCAACTGATGGTTTTTTTCAACGAAGTAAGTAAGATTTTTGTTTTCATATTATCCTTTGCGCCTGAGACGAAAATTGTACACGACATAGGTTTGTGAGCTTAAATGAAGCTATTGTTATTTATAAAGGACATGGTTCTTATTGAATGAAAATTTTCGTTATACATCAGATTACTAAAATTTGTTGATGGTATGGGTTTTAATTCATCACATAGGTTTTACCTGAACGGATGTAGTGAAATATATAGAGGACATGAACTTTTAACCAACGACGTATTGGATTGAGATGATATGTAAAAAATTGTATATGATGGTATAAAACTGATATGATGGTTTTTCTATAATTAGTAAGCAACAGTTATTATATGAGATAAAATAAAACCCATATAATAACCGGTCTTGAAATTAATCTAACTCCTAAAATGAATTATTATTATAGGTTGAGTGTAAGATGAGCTTTGTGAAAGGGAACTAAATATTTCGGATAGATATTAACTAGTTGATCTTTTTTATTGATTATCTACCCATGTGTTTCATTACGATGAAACTGCGGCGCAGTTACGCCGTAACTGCGATCGCACTGTGACCCGTAATTGCGGAAAATTGCGACGTAGTTACGCGCAACTACGATGAAAAAATCGCAGTTA